GCCCGATCCTAGAACATTCATGCAGGAACCAGACGTGGACAACGAGAAGCTTCAATGTAAGCCATGCATGAAACTCTCAGGTAGCCATTCTGGTACTTCGGCTCCTGTGTTTGCTTGCGGGTGCAATGGGGCTGAATTTGAGAAGCATGAAGTCCTTATACTGTTAGTCGTGGAATTATGCAACCATAAGCCCGACCATGGCAAAGAAGTTGGTGATAGTGCTTGTGCGAGCAGGGCAAATGACGGACAACAGCGGGAAGTTGTTGTCAGACCCTTGGAGTCGTTCGGGTTAGGCAGAGTTACGCACAGTGTTCTGGCACAGTCGACTCAGCAGTGTAGTTGGCTTGGGGCTTCAATGACTGCTGCGGCTGTCGATTGGAGATTGGTCCGATGTATTCGTTACTCAGACTCAGGAGACCTGATTGACGTGCAGAGCTTTGCGAGGCTATCTGCCTCGGCATCGCTTTGTGACCAGTCTGGTGCCATTGCTGCGGCACTCCTTCTCGGAGTTCACCCCTTCAACCTAGCTAAGCACTGAGCCGCCATGGCGACAGACCAATAAAAAAATGATAATAATTCAAATAATAATGAATACCAACATCAAAGCTACTAAACATCACCGTGACAGTTTGGCAATGCCAGTAGGATCGACGCCTCTTTACATCAGCATCAGCGTGACTAGTCACTACTAGTATCATGTACAAGCATGACTGCGCCAAAATGGAGTAGGTACTGCCCGTAGTACTGACACCAATACTGGGTAAGACTATGAGATTTCAGGTATAGGGCTTAAGTGCTAAACCCTATAAAGCCTTAACCCAACCCTTTTGAGCACTTAACCCAACCCTAAACCCTAAACCCTAAAGGCTTCTTTGCTGAGGACCTTTTCAGGGTTTTCCGCAAGGATCGATCGACCTCGGCCGAGGAGAAGGACCAGGTATGCCTTTAGGGGTTACTTAAGGGATATGGTTTAGGATGTAGGGGCCCCTTTATTTTATTTTTTTTTTGCGGGCCCTTTTCCTCCCTTCTACAGTCGGAATACCTAGTAGGTAGAGCCAGGGCCCCTTAAGGGTTTAGAGTTTCGACGCTCACTCTCGCACAAGGCAGGCAAGGCTCCACATAGGGTTTAGAGTTTAGGGTTTACTTTACCTCAATGGTCTTAAACCTTGCAGAATCTCTACAGCCTAGACTCCTAGACCGATAACCCCTGAACCCCAAGCAGTGAGCCTGAACAGTCGTGCTCCAAGCCCCCGGCTGTAAGAAAACATACTACAACCCCGAGTCTAGGGTTTCGACTCACACACTCGCACAAGGCATGGCTTCAGGCGTTAAGTCCACTGAGTTTAGGGTTTAGGGTTTCCGGCCTTCAAGACAGAACCGCACAGCAAGACGCGTTGTCTTCGCTATCGCACCACGGCTGGGTTTAGTTTGAAAAGGCTGCCAGGCTTGGAACATAAACAGAGCACCTCAGGACTGCACATAAATATGTAGGATGACGGCCATGCTCCCTCCCTCCTCTCTGCAGCTGTCGGGAAGTAAGACTAGTGCCTGCATGAGGTTTAGGATGCTCTGCTTGCTGGCGGTTGCATTCCGAGGCTGTGCAGTACCCGCACGATGCCCCTCCCAAACAGATGCACGGCGCGGCTGTACACGCATATGGCCTCCAACTCGCGCTGCCCGCACTCCTAAGCGTGCACTTTCGTCGTCATCTGCTTCGGCTTGTGTTCCAGAACCTTCCTGGGATTAGGGCGTCTATCTTCGTGGAGCGATCCGTGGGAAAATACAGTAATAGTTCCAGTGCGAGCCTGAAGCTACAGCACAATCACGTTTCCCGGACAGTGGACGCTTGTCTGCCCCTTTACACGGAATGCTGACATCGCCTACCCGTAAAATCCCGAAAAGACTTCCTGTCTCAGTTGGAGAGCTTCTGCAACAGTGGTGTTGGTGGAGGCACGGGGCCAGGATTAGCAACTCTACTTCCAGGATCAGAGGAGCATTCTCAAGCCCTACGCACCATTGCAACACATCGAGAAGCCCTGAAGCACAGAAGTTTTGAACAGCCAAATTAGGCTCTAAACTGCAAAGATGCCCAAGCCCTTACACTTAAACTGAAATAGGCTCTAAACTGCAAACATGCCCAAGCCCTTACACTTCATCTGAAAGCCTAGGACGTCGAAAACTTAGAGGCCCCCATCCAGCCCAGGTTTCCGACCTGGCAGGACTTACGGCTGAGGTTTCTCTGGGTTGGCCTTTAAACACCCTGAAAAATATTTATATATAGGGTCCCTTATAAACCCAAATAAGGAAAAAATGTCCCAAAATCAAACCTAGTTCTTTTGTGTGTTTGAACCCTTGTGTCTTTCAGCTGTGCGCCTCCAGACCACCTCTTTGGTTGAGGGATTGGGGCACTACAGCATTTCGGAGTTTAGGATTTACAGTAGAAGCCCAAATTTGGAAACCCAATAATTAGTCTCAATCCTGAAGAATCATGTATAGGGAATCCCAGCACTACTGTTGATGATATAAATCCTGCATTACCCTAAGGACCCTAAACTATGGAAATTATGGTATATTCCTTATTATGGGTCATGCAGGATTTATATCATCAACCGTAGTTGTCCTAGATCCGGTTTTCAACTCTTTTGAGGCTTACTGTAGGGTTTTCGGGGGCTGAGCTCTATGCACGCAGGCTCTTAGGGAGCTCCTGCAGATTTAGGGTTGATCCGATGGCTGAAAACGCAGATGCCGGGAGTTGGTATGGCCTTGGCAGCCTTCAAAATTCTCTAAGAGGCTTGCCCGCAGAACATTGGGCTTCGAGTTGGGGAGCGATTGTGCTGCTTTTGCTGGGTATGGATTTATGCAGATGAAAGAGCATGAGGCCTAGAGGATGCAGGGTTCAGGCTTTTGGGTTTAGGGTTTTGGATGGAGATGTACGTTTGCAATTATGCGTTCGCTTTTCGGCAAACTTCCGAGTTGGTAATCTTTCAACAGCAATAGACACAGGATGGTGGCTGTGTAGCCACAGTAGCAAGGCACAACTCGGATACAACCGGCAACACCAACCAGTCACTGGACCAATGAAAGTAATCATGTTCGTCGCTTCTGTCACAACAACCGTCAACATTGCTAGAATCTGACAGGGTGATGGAGGCACTCAGCCTAAGTCTCACAGCCGGTTCTGCGGACAAGACATCCAACGCTTGAAACAGTGGCTTCGGTGTGCCGGGCCGGGCCAAAATATGATGTAATGTAGGCGCCTGACTAACTACAATAGGGTTCTACAGGGAACAGGGTTTATATGGGCTCAAGATTTAGGCTTCAGGGCTTTATATACGCACCTTCATATACGCTCCTTACTAGTTCTTAGTTCTTAAACGGTTTATTGCGGCTTGCTGTACTGTAAGGGTTCTACCAAAGAGGGACCTGTATGACCCGGATAGGGTGTTGGGGTATGCCTTAACCTACCAAAACCTACTTTTTTGTAGGGTCCCTATAAATTCCATATTAGGCTTCATAATACGGACCTGCGAAAAAATAGGGTTTGGTGGGTTAAGGTGCTGTACAATAGATACCTTCAAGAACCCTGAGGACCTGAGGAACACGAATTAGAACGATTCCGACCTCTGTTTTATCATGCCAAGGCCCGCACGGATTTATTGCAATGCCGCAAAGACCCCTTTTACATGTGCTCTCTACAAAACCAGGCCCAAAACAAATTCTCTGCTTTTTTAAAAAAATCAATCCGTGCAAAGTTCTCCCTGTGCCGCCTCAGGACCTCACGGCTCCGTCGATGCAGGTTGAGCCCAAGCCGGTGTTCCATGTGGGGGTTTCCGAAAATTAGGGGTCCCTTTAAAGGGTTCCTTTAAAGGGATCTATAAGGGTTCTATAAAGGGTTTAGGGTTTAGAGTTTCCGAAAATTAGGGGTACATTCTTTTGGGGTCCTCATAGTAAGGATCCTACTATTTGGGGTACTATATTAGGGTCCCCTATTTTCGGAAACTCCCATGTGCTGAAACCTGAAACCCTAGAACCCTAAACCCTTTCTTGAACGAGGCCTCCCCCTAAACCCTAAACCGCAAACCTACAGTAACCTCAGCAAAGCACCTGTCCGATCGCCTCAGCTTCGAAAAAACACTGACTGCAGGCTGGGCCTACTGCCGCTGAGCTCCGAAATGAAATCCGGAAGAGGGCTCTGGGGGTCATTACTGTAAGAAAACCTATAGTGAACAACACTTAATGATATTGGCTGCTAGTGAAGCCCCTAAATAACCCCGTGTTTACTTTCCTCTAACTCGAACCAGCTGTAACTCAGCTTATATTCGTAACTTCCCCAAAACCTCTTCGACAGAATAACAACTGAAAGAGCCTTGAACATTGCAGCCGAAACTCTAAACCCTTGCTCAACCCCTGAACAAGCACTCCGCATTAACCTCTAACTAACTCTTATAGGGGTCTTCATACTTGTTTGGGGGTATGTCGCAGTATAAACCATACTGGGACTACAGGTATCTCACGGTATAGTCGTAGCGACTCTTCCGACCAAGGAAAGGCTCCGGCACACCGCCGTGGCACAAGCACTTGGTGCGTGCCGCTCTTTTTTGATTACGAGTGTCTGGAAGCTTAAGACCTAGTTGTCGGGTATCATGGGGAACTAAAGGTTAACCTTTCTGGTTATATAGGGATGATATAGGGTCTATACTACCCAAAAATTGTTAAAGGTCACCTACTCTACTACTAAGCTTAAGACTTGGCGATGCCTCAGGGTTCTCGGGGTTTTCGGTCTTCGTGGTCTTAGGGTCTCGGGCTTGAGGGGTCTTGGGTGTTAGGGGGGTAAGGGTCCGAAAATAATGAGGGTGTGTTTGAGTTCAATGTTCCTCTTAGGGGTTTCGGGCTCAAGGCTAAGAGTTCATTACTTGCATGCTTGGTCAACTCGTCAGGTTCTGGTGTTTAGATGAATGCTGGGAAACCTCTGACACCTTAGGTCAGGAAGCAAGGAAATGTCAGGCTGTCAGCCAGACCTCCGTCTCCTCATCCTCTTCCTGGGCTTTGAGAAGCTGACTGCGTCGCGGTCGTGGACAAGCAGAGAAAAGTGAAGTGACTGCGACGATTCAGGGCGTAGGGGTTATAGACTTGCAGGTGTATGGCTTACCCATCTTCCGAGCAGCACCTATATCTCGACAGCGGAACTTGAAATCCCCTACATCCGACATTGCGGCCACGATACCACACCGTAGCCACAAGCGCCGAATCTGCAGCACGGTCTTGGGCTCGCCTCACAATGAAAAGCAAGAAGGTTTTTAGGGCTCAGTTCAGGGGGCCGGCCTTTAAACTTTAAAGGGCAGATACACTGGGCCTCGGGTTGAGGATGTAGGTCCCAAAAAACTTCAGTTTAAGGCTTAGGCCCTTGGGCTTTCGGTTTGGGGCTTCCAAGCTTCAGACGTCTAGCTCGCAGCCTGCTCATGACTTCAGCAGCAATCTTTCCATGGGCTGGTGGGCTACTAAAGCCGAACCAGCACCACAAACCTCATCGGAAGCGCATTTTGTGCTTAGTGCTTATGGCTTATGGTTCAGACTCCCGCAACTCGGACGTTGCGGGCGAGGAGGTTCGGTTCGAAGGCGAACGCGGGCTGATTGGCCGACCGGGTCGGGAGACTCCAAACCAGCATGACAAGAAGTCTACGAGAGCCTTGAGCCAATATCTCCGAAATCACCCGTGTGTATGCATCCCATTCAAGCCCCAAGCTTTATCGAACCATCTGAAAGGATCCTGAACCAAAGGGTGCCCATAAATGTTGACACCCACAAGCCCCCCAAAGAAAGCGATTCCAAATTTGAAAGGCAGATTGGCATGCCTTGGCCACGGTCTCCGTTTGAGTCCCGCGACTCACCCTTGGCAGGTCTTCTGGCATGACAGACACGAGTATACGGTATCATGGTGTGGTCGTGTCTTTTGAACAACCCTTGTTAGCCTGCAGGGTTTAAGAGCTTGGGGCCTACGGTTTCGGGTTCATTCCGGAGTCGAGGCATCTATCCATCTGTGCAGCTGTCTGCCTACTGCCTCCAGCACAACGGCAATCTTGCAAGATGACGATTGAGGCTTGAGGTTCGGGGGTTTAGGTCTTCACACACCACAAAGTTTGCATGAAGCACTGTAAGAACAGTTGCCATTTCTTGGGCTTCGCAGCTATTGCATCTCAGGAACGCGTTGTCCCCGCATGGCTCTATGTCCATGGCATGCCTGAGGGCTTGGTCTTTCAGAGACTTGAATGCATGTCGGCTCCATCAAGTCTCTGTCACAAAATCACCTTGAAATGCGGACTCAGGAATCCCAGTCTAAGATGTTCTAACTCTACAGCTCTCGAAGCTGCTACTGTACTACTACTGTACTACTACTGTACTACTGTACTACTGTAGTATGTACTACTGCCTTGACCTCACGCAACTTAGACCCCGCCCCCCCCGCCAAACAACTTACCCAAACAACTTATGAATTGGGTGAGGCGAACCTGCCGGACACTATTGCGCATTCAAAGGTCGGGGGGGGGTGGGGGTGATTGGTCAAGAGACCGCATTATTAAACTCCACCAGCTTCCAAAGTATGATAGAGGGTAGTCTGGGTTCTTGTCAGGGCACTTAGCGTAAGTTACCATAATAAGCACAGCATGTAATTTACCGTATTACCGTAAAGCCTTGTCTTATGAGTAGCTCAAAATAGCGCCGTTGACAAAAAAGCCCGTGATTGGGGGCTCTACTTGGAGGTCCATGGGCAGTTATAAAAGGGGTTCATGGGCAGTTATAAAAGGAGTTATAAGCAGGGCAACTATAGTTATAACCTATATTTGGGGACGTATAACCCCACTGATAACTACCAATGAACCTCCAAGTAGGTTGAGGACTAACTTTGCCAAACTCTGCAAACTGGCATCAGCATCATGCAACCCATACTCGGAGGTTCATGGGTAGTCACAAGTGGAGCTTTAAGTCCCACAAGATGGGTTGTAACTACAGTTACCCCACTTATAACCCCACTTATAACCACCCATGAACCTGCAAGTAGTTCCCAAACCCGAGAGAAACCCTGCCCAGGCCTGGGGCCTAGGGTTTTACGGGTTTGTTGGATTTGGGTTTAGGGTTCGGGTGTGGGGAGTGGGGCATGGGACCCAAAATTCGGAACTTTAGACGCCAGAAAAGCACCTAAACGGATCTTTCGAAACATCAGAGAGGATTCAGTCCGCGTGGCTTCCGGGACCAAAGACCCAGACCCCAACTCCCGAAAACCCTTTTTCAGCACGGGCTTTGGGTGTGTGCCGGCAAGCTGGAGTCTTATGGTCTTCATAAGACACCACCAAACTTGAAACTCAACTCGCTCATAGCACTGCCAAAAACCCTAAAGCAACATCCAACTCTCGAGCAAACCCCTTTGCAACCAGAAAACCCCACAATACCCTTTGAAGCCCGAAATAACATCGCCAGGAGACAGTAGCCATGGCGTCTTTGGCTTGTTTAGGTCGGCCGCGGGCGGGTCGGCACCTAAGTTGGGCTTGCGGTCTTGGTTTAGGGCTTATAAGGTTAAGGGATTAGGGTCCAAGGGATGAGAGCCTTAAGGGTCATCGTTTTCGGGCTTAGGGTTTAGAGGTGCAAGGGCTGGATTTAGGGCACAAAACAGTATGTATGTACTAAGTATGTGTATGTATGTGTGTGTGTGTGTCTGTGGGTGTGTTTGTGCATTTGTTTGTCTGTTTTTGTTGCGTGTGTGTCGTGTGAGTAAGCTTCATGGTTTTGACTGGTTAAGGTTTGAGGCGTTTTCGGCTTATTAGGTATTGCAATTACTTCACCCGGGGCCCGAGAATTTTACTTGTCATTTGATGAAGGGTCCGTCTTGAAAAGAGTCGTGACACGCCACCGAAAACCCGGAAATGTTCGGCCTCACTCCAAGTGAAGGGGACACTTATCCTAAACCCTAAAAATACTGAAACCTAAACCTAAAGCGTTGGGCGCATCTAAACCGAACCATAATTACTCCCTTCATTTACACGGGTTTTCGGACGTTCCACCTACAAGGTACGACTCATCCAGACCTATCCTGGACCTATCCTGAGCTATACTCCAAGTTCTCAAACCCTGGGCTGGCGCGTACTGCGGTTGCCTGTGGCACGGCACAGGAAAGGGTTTGTGACGAGTATGACAAGAATAGTGGTTTTGGCATATTCTAGTTTCACTATACAGAAACTATCATGGAATAGTACTACTACTTGTTCAGACCTGTTCATTAATTACTAGCAGAGCCACCCCATCAGGTCGTTGAAACGAACCACCCCTTCAAGGATCAGGGGACTTCGTAAGTCGGTCATAGCTAAGGTTACAACTAAGTAGCCCTCCCTTAAAACCTCAACAAAGAGCTCATGATCCGGGCGAGAGGCTGACCGGCGGCAACAGTTCCAGAAACGACTCCTCTGCTTCGCCGCCTCACTTGGTTTAGGGTTTCGGCGCACACACTCGGACAGGCCGAGCAGTTCTTTGTTCGTGGGCGGTTGAGGTGAAGCACATGTGGGGGGGTTTGGCGTTATAGGGTTTAGGGTGTATACTGTGGATCAGGCCAGAAACTTGTCGACTGAGCGACGAGTTTAGGCCTCAAATGTCCTGGAATTCATCGGCATCTGCTATGTTTTTTCGGTCGTGCAAGGCAAAGCCTCCATACTTTGAGCGGTTCTGAGGCGTCTGGTCGTAAAGACACCGCGGATGGACCGCAGAGCCTTTTGCAAAACTGCGCGCCCTAAGCTGGAAGCCGGGTATATGAGCACGGACATGAGCAGAACCTCTTACATGCAGCCGCAATGACTACAGGATGCGCTATGCCTCCAAATCTTCAACCATGTCTAGGGACTCGGACGACCCCTTATTCGGAGTTTCCGAAAATAGGGGACTCTCAAATACCTGATTGGTAGGTCCTTCTTATTATGAGGATCCAGAATATGGTACGTATAGTTTTCGGAAACTTCCTTAGCGGATCGCCACGGTGTATTCCCACATTACAACAGAATCAACAAGAGCCGTCAGTGAGGTTTAAGCGCTTGCGGCCGTAGCTACCTTATAACTCCAAGTGCTCCAACATGCTCCACCTATATTGATTTGATTTAGGATGTGCAAACAGCCTTTGCCTGCTGAAACTTAGCACACCCCTACACTATACACCATAACAAAACAAGTATGTGCTGAATACTCTCTTGGATTTTTACTTGAACAAAAACAAAAATCCTAAGGACACTATAGTACACCTACACCCTAAGCCTTTTCCGGGAGAAATTCCGTAAGACCCTCAGGCGACCTTCGATGTCGAAGCGAAGCTTTTTCTTGCTCGCATCCTTCTTGATCGCCGACTTCCTTTGGGCCATCGGGCTTTTCGTTTTGCTGGGTGCTGGGTCACCTTGTGACGGATGAGCGGCTAAAAATGGCAGACTTACTTAGACCATAGTCGACTCCGGCAGAGTTTCTTGTGTTTCAGGACTGCGACTAATCATAGAGACCCTTAGGGGGGGGAGGGGGAGGGGGCAGTAATGCCCATAATAAGGACCCAGTAAGGCCTATTTAAGGAAGTATAGTCCCCTCCCTAAACCCTAAAACCTAAACCCCTAAACCCCTAAACCCTAAACCCCCCTGCCCCCTACCGCCCCTAAGGGTCCCTATATGAACTATCGACTTCCGGGCTTCGGACGTCCGGGGCTCATGGGTCGATAATCACCAACTCTCTCTCTCTCTCTGAATCGCTTGCTTGCAGGGTTTAGGGTTTAGGGTTTAGGGTTTAGGGTTTAGGGTTCTTGCTTGCTGCGGGGTTTGGGCCCCCAAAAGGACCCTGGCCCGAAGGCCTACCCCCACAACGGTCCGCAAACCTCTCTCTCTCTCTCTCTCTCTCTCTCTCTCTCGTTCGGGCATAGGGGTCGGTCAAGACCCCCGGGCATCTTGCCCACCCGATATGATTTATCGGGTTTGTTTGGGGGGTGAAAGTCAAATGTAGACCCCGGTGCAAGCTAAAGCCATATAGTATAAGATGACGGATTACCGGGATCGTACATTTTCAGTCCACACGTGCACAACTGCAGGTTCCCCCATTGGAAGAAAGAAGGTACTATCCAAGACTCGCCTAGTAAAATAAAAATGTGGGTTCACCACAGTTGGTTTAACTCTCTCTCTCTCTCTCTCTCTCTCTCTTTTTATCAGCTACCGAGTTGGGGTTCCTGAAGAGGCTTACGATAAAGAACTGAAGCTTAGAGGGTGTAGGGTTTAGGGTTTAATAAGGGGCTTGCTCAAACTTAGAAATAATAGGGCTAAAGAATTTCAGGAGCACTATGGATACTTCTTCCGGCCTGTATTGTAGTCTATGGTAGTCTGAGAAGACATCCCTCGAATGTGCTTTCGGATTTAGCGCGGGGGGACGTCTCCTCCGGCTGAAGTTGCAGCTCTTCTCGGGCAGTATCCCTCGACCCCGAGTGCCAAACCTTGCAGCCTACACCACAGTCGAAAAGAATAGGTTGATGATTCAGGGCTTTGGTTTCACAGCAAGACTAGCCGTCTGTGAGGGTACTGCAAAGACAATTGACTCCTCACATCCCAAATCCGTGAGCTGTAAAACCCTTTTTTTGTAACCACGAGATGCCACTCGCCCCCTTTTCTAGGAGGTGCTTTTAAAGCCTTTGAAAAATATTAGTAGGTAGGATCCTCTTAAGCCCAATAAGGGAAAATATAAAATGCCCCAAAGCCCTACCTAGTTTTTTGCAAAGACTGGTACATGCCCGTCTGGATGTCGGATGTCAGAGCCGCTGCAGTCGTGGCAGTAACCCTAACCCTCTGAAGTCAGTGCCCCTAAACCCTAAACCCTGAAGCAGATCGTACAAAACTGGAACACCGAAAACGAGCCCAGTTCTGTCTAGCCCGGCCACAGAGAAATGGAGCCGGTGCCAGAATTGTCCTTGGGTTCTCTGTTAGGGGGTTTGTTGATGGCCTTTGGCGCTCAGCTGTGCGACGGGAGTCGGGTTTAGGGTCTCTCTTCTTCAACAACCGGGCCCCAAAAAGTTCAAACTTTCTAAGATCGAGAGAATATATAGGGCCAAAAAGTTAAAAGTTCCCCCGTTCACTATCTAAGGGGTCTCCAGTTTAATGTTTGTTTACACCCTAAACCGCTTGTATGTTTAGAGTCAGGTAGGTGCAGGACAAGTTTGGGCTTTTGGAGTGCTTTTCGAGTAGTGCAGTGATCCGGACATAGCCACGATTTAGGGCTTAGGGCCCCAGGCATCTCCTCAATGACATTCTACTTCCACAGAGACTACGAGATGCCAACATAGGGGCCGACTTACTAGGGGGTCCCCATATTTACATGGAAGCCTTTGCTACCCGACCCCACCGCAAATTCAGAAAATACTTCGTCGCTCAGCTCCCAGTGTGGCCGTCCTGCAGCCCCAATACCCTGCATTCCAAAGAACATACCCGAAGTCGGTCCTTTCTTGCTTTGCCTGAAGCCTGTTTCGTAAGTTATATGTTACTATAGGAGCCTCAATCATGAGAATACAGTTTTGCGGTATATTATACTATACTTGTTATTAAGCCCCTATATTAGGGTGCCTGGGGGCTTCCGGGCAAGAGCCTCAACACAAACCCCGAATCCCGGCACATGATCTTGTGCCGAGGGGCTCGAGCGGAGTCCATTCTAGTGGCCTGGTCCGCCTGCGTTTCATCTCCTTGGGCCATGACGAGCGCTTCCACGACGGTTTTGGGTTTTAGGTTTAGGGTCTTTAAGGCCATTGGGTTTAGGGTTTTGGGTTTGTTCAAGCCATTGGATTAAAGGGACCCCTGCAATCTCAAGTCATTTGCCGAAGATTTTTCAAGCTTGAACTCAGTGCAGGTTGAGTCTCGGCGTTTGAAATATCCATGGCTTCAGATACGTTAATTATGGGAGTTTCCGAAAGTAGGGGACCCTAATATAGTACCACAAATAGCAGGATCCTTATTTAATCTTATTATAAGGACCCAGAAAATGAGCTACCCGTATAGGTATCTGGTCATGTCTGGGACGTACAGCTTATCGGCTTTAGATTCCTCTACCTGTCCATTCGGACCGCCTGACTCTGGCGTGGCGCCTCGGGGTGCTTTCCCGTGACCCTACACCTCCCCAGAGACTCCAGTATCCCTTAATTAAGGAATATTCCTTGAACCATAGCAGGATTCCTATGATTCAAGGAATATTCCTTAATTAAGGGATATTGGAGACTCTGGGTCTCTCTCTCTCTCTCTCTCTCTCTCTCTCTCTCCCAGGCATTCGAAACGCCTACACCTAAAGCTTGAAACCTTGAACCATCGAGAGAGAGAGCGAAAGCTAGGGAAGGAGAAGGCAGTAGCGAAGACGCATCTCCGAGTTACCAGACTGCAAATTCGCTTCAACTGAGGATTGCTGGACGCTACCTTCGTGTCCGTGTGCACAGCAAAGCGCACGCCATTAAGCCATTAAGGAGTACACTGTTGTGGGATCCTTATAAGTATGGTGCAAGGTACCTTTTCACACTTGCAGTGCAGCTAAGCTTTGTGGAGACCCCACTTTGATTCAAACTGGGGGAAGTTCACGTGTACCTAGACGCCGATTCTTAAGCCTCAAACCAAGTCCCCTCACCTTGTATGTACCATCTTTTAAGCTAAAAGCCGCTAGCGCCATAACAAAACCAACGAGTGCAATACCCCCAGGAGTTTTATTATCATGGACATATAACATGCCTCAGAGCACTAAAGCAAAAGTTCGGCCCCAGGTTCGGGTCCAAAGCGATGATCCATCACTCTCATCCTGGGTGTGGCAATAGCTGGCATCTACTACTAGGGTTTTGGGTTCACGGAACTTAGCAGGGCGAAAATGCAGGACTGAGGTTGTACTTATCGCAAGGTTGACTGGGAAAGTGGGTTGTAAATGAGGTTGCACAAGGGAGTGCGGTAGAGGCCGCCAGCCTATCAACTGCACTTCTTCTGCACTGATGGCGTCGCTCTGCTGCGGTGGCAGCAGTTTTTCAGTGAGACTTCGACCCGAACCCCTAAATCACAGGGACGCTTTGGGAGGTAAGAGGGAAGGGGGGTAGGGGACTGTACTTCCTCAAATAGGCCTCATGAAATCCTTATTGTAGGTATTCAGGCCCCTACCCTTCTCCCCCGTACCCCCCTTATGGGTCCTTAGGACCAAACATAGTGTGCTTTTTTTATGGGCTCTTTTCCACGGGGTTCAAGTTTTTCTTCGATTGGCTGGATTCTTGGCCAGGGTTTCGGGTTCAGGGCCGCCACAACAAGCTGAATATCTCTGTCTAAGTTCTGAGGTTTGGGGCTTACTTAGTTGGGACTTGAAGCTCATCACCTGGTAGATACGAAGAAAGGAGATGACAGAGATCAAGACCCGTAAATGCCAATAAAGACCTTGGTTTTTTCAGCATGGGCTTGCATTGTGTGCCAGTTTATAGGCCTGCGGCCTACTGCCCAAAGTCTCGGTGAAAAAACCCATCCCCAAAACTTAGCCATAAACCCGAAACCCCCTAAACCCTAAACTCGACACTCCCCATGAAGCCGTTGAGAGTCGATCCTACCCCGGAGTACAACCCTAGAAGAACAACATCCATGGAACACACTCAACGGAAACCCATGACATGAAACAGATACCCCAAAACTGTTCAGCAATCCCGAATGAACAGAGCCTGGTTGTGAAGCCCCTATTACACCTTTGTCATGAAAACCTTGTTGCAGCCTTGTGAAAAGCCCTATATCCCTAAAACCCCAAACCCCTAAACCCTATAGTGTAGGAACCTGATTAAGAAACGCAGGGCCTATAACCCCAAAATAGTAGGGTTCATATAAGGAACCCTAATAAGGGCCCGAGGCTTCTTAATCAGGTCCCTACATTAACTTTCCAATCCTTTGCGGAGGCACCGAGTTCCTCTTGCTGAAAACGTTGGTTGCGCGGCTCAGGGCCATCGTCGCCATCCTCGGGACGAAGGCTTTACATGTTGGGTCTGGAACGTCTAGACGACGGCTCCCTAAACACCAAACCGTAGTGAGGCGCTCAGGTTGAGGAGGAAAGGCTTTGGGGGTTGCAGGGGGTTAAACAAGACGTCAGGGTGACTAGGGCTCCGGATTAGTCTTGGAGGATGGTTTATAAGGGACATGCAAGTCCCCATGTCTCTGTGAGAGTTTCAGGTGGATCACTGCATGGCAGCCGCATTGAAAGATCGTCTTGGATCCTCCACCGCATTTATGACAGAACCGCTCCCTTACAAAACGCGTATAGAGTCTTAGGACCTTGAACGAACCCTAACACCCGGAAGATTCGAATTTCGCAGCACGAAATCCTCGCAGCCCGAAAACAAGAAGGCACCAGGCTTGAAGGTTCGCGTTTTCGGATCTAGCTTCGGGTTTTGGGTTCAGGGCGCCCCGGCCCAACTTATTGTTTTCGGATTCGCGTGGGGTGCGAGACACTGGCTTTACGGGTATATGGTATATGTGCGTTTGGGGTTTAACGGCTTTAACCGTTTGCGCTTGCTACGATCGGCTACAACCACGACTGGCTCCGCATTCAAACCACTAAGGCCCATATAATACTAGAAGCAAACTATAGTAGCCCTTGTAATACCATTCAGAAGGAACCCTTAAACTCCGCGACGCCCCGGCAGCCAAGTGGCATTCGCGACTTCGCAGACTTCCACATCTTGGCGGACTGTGCTTGGGCCTGGGTGGGGAGCGGGTTCGTGTGCTCGCAGGGCAGGTGTGTCTGTGCGTGTGAACAGCTGGGAGTTTCCAAAAAAAACCGAGGTACCTTATTTGGGGTCCTTATAATAAGGTTCCTACTATAATGGGGTACCATGCTATTAGAGTCCCTGTTTCGGGACACTCCCATCTACGCGCCCCCAAATCCCAAAACAAACTCGAAAGCCGAAGCAAGCAATACCTCTCTGAGACTCTGCGCACAAAATCAAGAGAACGAAGGACCCGCAGAGCCCATTACCCTTGACCACTATCCAGATCCCCCCAAGTGTCTTAGCAAACCCCATGGGCCCTAAAAACAATCATCCGCGAACCCTCAAGTAACCAGCGAAACTCGGAACGGGGCAGCGTCGCTCAACCGCGTGCGAAGCTTTGCGGGCGCTGGCAGCAGCCCGGACAGATTCGGGTTCCTAAGTGTGGACTCGGGCTGAGGGATAGGGGCGTAATAGGGGTCTTTATGATTACCTGTGCTATTTTCGGGGGTTGCTTATTCAATCAAAGTATACTGGGCCCCAAGACACAATCCTAATTACTAAAGCCCATAGACTTGTTCACAAATCTTTGAGAACTAAACATATCGGGGAAGAAATAGTTTTTCCCCAATATGTTTAGTGCTTACGTCGTTTCTGCGTGCAATCACTGAATGTACCAATGGTGCTATGTGTGATGTACGCATCAGCTTTTAGGCCCGATGAGTTCCAGGAGGAACGAAATGCATAGCTAGAGCTGAAAACCTGATGGTTGCTTGATCTCGGATTCACGTTTGTTTGGGCTTGAAGCCACTTTGGGCTTCCAAGTCGCCCTGCGACAGGTGTTTTTAACCCTGATGAGGGGAATCCTGTCAAGCATTCCTCATATGGAGCCTAAGGGGGGTAGGGGGCCTTCAATCTATAAGAAGGACTAAATAAGGCCTATTTGAGGAAGTATCGTCCCCTACCTCCCTCCCCCCTACCCCCCTAAGGATCCCTTATGAATTCCTGGCCCGGCCCGGAGTCCGCAAATCACAGAAACCTACGAAACCGCACTCCTCGTTAAAGCTCCGAGACTAAGGGACAACTCTCTAGACCCTGCATTGCGCCATATTGCATTGCAAAAAAAAGCGGAATTGGTAAAACGAAACCCGCAAACAGCAAATTCGATCCATGGCGCAGACCCCTGATCAATGAACGCCTTTGAGTTATGGAGAACCCGAATATCCAGATCACTATGATGCATCTTCTTTGTTAAATGAGATGGGTTGACTAGTCGGGGTCTACATCACCTCTCGTCAAAGGTCGAAAGTCGAGACCCTAATTCACGCAAGACTGATGCCAATTCCACAATTAGAGGGTGGCTATAGTGCAATGTACCCTGAAAGGTTGTTCTTCTTCGAAGTTTTCACTGAGGACCTTATATCCATTGGACGATGACGGTCAGCGTCGCACAACTTGTGCTAGGTACACTACGGGAAATAGCGACTAATCCCGGACTGCACCAATCCCCCATGAGAGGGCCGAAGAACAGCCTCTCGTTGGCGCAACAAACGACGACCTGGGCAAGAGGCTTTGGGTTCGGGGATTTCGAGGTTTGGGATTTGGGGGGTTTGCTGGTTCGGGTCGAGTGTTTCGGAAAGGTACTTATCAGCCGACTTCATAGGTTCGTGAGCTTCATCAGAGTTACAGATAGGATACACCCAATTTGCGTTCTTCCACTTACAGTTCTGTTCTTCTTACTAAGTCCCATGAACAAGCAGGTAGCCGCTAGGGCTTTAGGTATTGTGAGCTTCTTCTAAGTTCACGGGCCACTTCGGTTTGAGTATTCGGGTTGTTCGGGCTTCAGGAATCCGAGCTGGGATGCTCGGCTCGGGAGTGGATTTAAGCGTTTGTGTACTTATCGGCATCCGGGAACCAGGACTTGGGTTTCGGGGAACAGGCCCGAAATCCCTAAACCCCGAAGTCCTGAAACCCGAAAGCCTCTAAGAGACCTCTATATCTCCATGTCCAGCTTCAGCAGCGACCCACATTGCCCCAGGGATCAACATCTGGAACGGGAGCCCGAAGTATGTTTAGGGTTTTTCCCTCCGGAGGGTTTAGGGTATAATCTGGTTCTGCTTCTTTCGGGTCGAACGGATGCACAAGTATTTAATGAGTAGTATGCACTAATGCTACCTGCTCGAGCTCATTGCTCTCGTGGATATCACGGAACAGGCGGGCCACCATCGACTAGCATTCTCGCTGCTACTTGCCAGTGCGACGGCTATGTCTACAACCTTGAAGCCCCCTACCCCCGAAATCAAAACCGAAGCCCTAAACCCCCAACGCCTCATCCCACATCCCTAGAAACCCTGAATCCTTCGCAACCCTGAAATCCACAGGTCTTGGCCGCCTCCGCAATCCTAAAGTCACACCCTGCAAACCTGAAGCCCCAAAGTACCTCAAACCTAAGGTACCCTAACGCCCCAAAGACGAAGCCAAAAACCCAGAACACCCCCTGTAAACCCTTTTCACTAAACCGCACCCTCTACGTCACAAGCACGAAGAGAAAGGTGCTCTTAGGCCCGCCACCAGCGTGCCGTCCCTGAAAGGCGAGCTATCTAGCACCGCCACCTGACGATGCTACCGGCCCTATGGAGCAAAACAGGGATACTGCTCATAAAGGCTATGTAAGAGTTCTATAAAGATCCATGGTTTTATGGGCAAAACAAGGATACTAAGTATAAAGGCTATATAAGAGTTCTGTAAATAAGAGCTCCATAGGGTTACTGTCATTCCCGAGTTTCTGCTAAAGTGCTTGAGAGCTTCAGGTATTAGGGTTTTCGGGTTGTGGGGTTTAGGGTTTAGGGCTTTCGGGTTGTGGGGTTTAGATTCGGGACTGCACATGATTTAGGCCGGTATATGTTTAGAATGCTTGACGTGTGCGACCCAGCTGCCTTCCCAACACCCGCACCATCTCAGATGCCCGAACCATGCCAACAACTACAACCTTCGCTGCTTGCATCGCTGCCAGCACATGACCCAAACCCAAAACCTATGAACACTTTTTTAGAACCTTCAATAGCATGCTGGAGTTTAAGCCCTGACCCAATCCGACTCGCCAGGCCGGCATTGGCAGGCAAAAGCCCGACTGAGCAACAAATGCACCAGACATGGGGAGACTCGACAGCGAATGCATGCGAAGCTTCAATAGTCGAAATGCGAAACCCTCAGCGGCTAAATGTGAAAAACACATGAACTGCGACACAAGAGAAGCTTGTTCATTGCAGATGCGGAAACCACGTGAAATCCTTAACGTGTGATTTCTACAATCTGCAAGAAGCCGTATTTTCCAAGGGGTACAGCAAGAGTACCGAACCCTCCCAAAAAAGGAAGACCCTGTGATACAGGCCTGCTGCAAAGCTGGGTGCTGATTCTACACGCCCTGTTGATCCAAAATATTCAAAATCAAGATAGAATTTTCGATTACCACTTTTGCTTGTGTCGTACTGGTAATGAAATTTGATCCCAACGGGCAGCCTCGTCTAGTGACCAGTCAGAACCTCCCGGTCGCTCGACTGCTATCCAGATAGAGGTCACCTTCACTTGTGACTCTTGGCCTTTTCTCGTGTTTCGGCACTGACAAGTCGAGTGTTCGGGTTTTGTACTCGGGGAGTCGGGGCCAGGGCTCCAGGACACTTCGGCTTACTGTATGCCTTGGTAGGAGGATGGGGGCCAGGCGTAAATCGCAATCGTACCCTACTCGGCAAGAAGCACTGAACGACAGAACCGAGGACTTAGCTGACTCAGCCCGGAAGGGAGGTACTCCATCATTACCATGGTCCGGTCGTGCTGGTGGACACAGCAACTGCGGCAGTGGAGGTAGTTGTGCTGCTACTAATGGTGTAGTCGTGAAGCTTTCAACACCAGCAGAAGCAGAACTAGCAGCAGCAACATGATGCTAGCATGCATGTTGTTGTCCTGGATGGCTTCCCTTTGCAACTTCCTGAAAGCGTTGCTGAACATGTAGGTAATACAAAGCACCTAGATCGCAGCATGCGTCAAGGAGGAGTGATCACATGCAACAGCCGCAAAAACCGAAGCCCGATAGTGACGACAATCATCGAATACACTCCAACAATTAATTACCGGACACCCGTCGAGTTCCGGGGCAGATTGCAAAGCGAACCCGACAGCTTTCTGAACAAAAGCCTACAAACTAAAAACACCGAAAATCCTCAACCCCACAGCCTAAGACACAGAAGCGTCTCGGGCCTGCCGCTCCACTCCTGCTTCAAGACTCACAACCACGGCAAGCCCTCGAGCCCTAATGTAGGGGCCTTAATGCTTAGAATAGGGTTTGCGGGCTCCTTATCACAATTATGATATAATCTACCCCCAAGCCATATCTATAAGGCCCCTATATTCAACCCTCCATGTCAAAGGCAAACTGTTGAGGTTGCAGGACTTCGGCAGTTCCTGCTCAAAACTGTCTGGGAGGAGTTCTGTGGCCTAGGGTCTTGGATATTTTGGCCTCCTACCTGGCTAGGGTTCTGGGTTTCGGTGCTCACACTCGGACAATCCAGGCGAGTCATATGGTTCGGAGTCTGACAAGTGAGACATAACTAATGCACGATCCAAGGAGCAGAGACGACGAACTCAATGGGAGAAGTCATGATATCAAGCAACCAGGTTTAGGGCGTTTGGAGTTCAGCACTCACACTCGGACAAGCCTTGGCGAGGTTCTCAAGTCCCACGACAGGCACATCTGGCCCAAACCGTCATACGTTGATGACAGCAAAACATTATCCGCATCGCGTTTGGAGTTTAGGGTTGGGGGTTCAGGGCCTCCATGCACCCGGCCATATCGAAAGGGTCTTGGGCTCTCCGGCATGGGCCACTCGTTGCCCATCAGATGCCAAAGCTCGGTTTGGGGTTTAAGGTTTAGGGCTTAGGGCTTAGGGTTTAGGGTTTGGGGTTTAGGTTTTAGGGTTTGGGGTTTACGCTCTCGCAACTCGGACGCATCCAGACGAGGTTCGTGTACGGCAGGTCGGTTGACTACAGCGCACTCCCAGAGACCCAAGAAAGACAGCTGCCAACAGAAGGTAATGCCACGGAGGACCGGTCTAAGGGAACACGCAGAAAGGAGCCCCTACAGTGAAACGCTGCAGGAAACCTCACACTGCTGGAAAGACAAGACAACACAAGGTAAGGCCACGCATGACGCAGTATGAGGCCCCCGAAAAACTGTACAACCAAAACACGGTCCTACAACTACCTTAAAGGAGGAGGACGTCACGTGGGGAGGATTCAACTACCCAAGTAGTAAGTATATCGGGGACCTGGATATTGCAGATTGCCTAAAGCAAGCGGGTGAGAAGGAACAAGGTGGTTTCACTGGCTCAGAACAGCTGGTAGGGCATGCAGAAAAAGTCATCGCCATGCAGTATTAGACGTATCATCCTGTACCATAGCAGGCCGGGCACGAGACGTTTTAACCGTCAGTCCACACCACCCGTATCATCGAAAAGTTGCCCTAGTCGGCAAGCATCGAAAGCAGGCCCATCAGCTGACCAAGTGTAGACCGTCCGTAAAAGCCGGGCATGTAGGGACAGCGCTGGCCCGAAGCTATCTGTCGGGTCGTATCAAACAAAGCTCCGGAAGTGTCATAGGGATCCTGTCGTCACAAAGATGGCGCACCCGGCACAGGCAGTGTCTTGTGATCTGGTCCACAGGTTCCGGGACACCCAGCTTTGTTGTCCGATTTGCGGGCTAGTGGAGCATTGCGCTCACGTAGCCCGATCAAGACCCAAATGTAGCAGCTCGGCAGCAAGTTGGTCTACCGATCATCTGGAAAAGCTCGACGAAAAGATGTCGCACCAGGAAACTTTTCAACCATACCAGCAGTACAGAGTATCACAGCTCGTAGTGCCGGCCACATGGCTGTCCAGAGTAAACGTTCCGGGGCCATGGCTTGTCGCACGTTTGCGGGCTCGTGGTTTCTTAGGGGGCACCGGAAGCACGTGGAGGGGGACGAGGTCAAGGTGTAATCACATGTTCAGGTCATAGTTGTCTCTAAGTGTTGAACAAGTTCCGACTCAGTCGACGCAGCACGGGCTACGACGGGGTCATCGACATCACCTCATGGCACCACCGAACGACGCGTGCATCAGGGAGCATCGCAACATCATACAGGCATGCAGAAAAGTGCACAGCATGCAAAAAGCAGTACAAGCAAGGAAAGGCAGTCCAGCAAAGGCAGTCCGGCAAAAACGAATTCCCACAGGTGTACAAGAGACAGCAAGCGACCAGTACTCAACCCTCGTCTGAAAGGAACCGTGCGGAACCAAAAAAACTCAAGCAAAAGTGGTTTCGCGGCTCTGCAGTGCCGTCAACCATGAAAACCTTCAATTGGAGCTGGGCTGAGAATCAAGCCCCAACAAGGAAGATGAACCCCTAACCACTGCCAAACGATCGCCTCAGCCGTGCAATCAAGCCTACCCCAAGCATCCATAATGCTTTCCTGAACAAAGCGGGCATCCTGGGGTGAGGCATAGGTCGTGAGGGGCAGGTTATGTGCCGACCTAGGGAACTGCGAAACGACATAATCGAGGGAGTCCAGGTACAGAACGAGGTGGTGTACTCGGGTATAATACCAATGCCAAGACTTCTTATACTCCCGAACAATAAAACGAAGTTCAGCCGCAGCCCAGCATGCAACCTGCGTGGGCATCTGGGTTACGGCAGTACATACTCTTCGTCCGCTGAGAGGGGGATGAAAGGTCGAAGGTGTCGGGGCTGAACGATTTCAATTTGGGTATCCTCCATCTTGCACGGAAGTATCCCAAAGCTGAAAGTCTTGATCCGAAGCTCACACAGGCGCTGCCGAAGTATTCGGGGAATCCAAGACCTCTACAACCTCATCCACAATCTCAAGTACAGCATGTTGATCCCTTTGTTCAGGGGGCAGCTCGAGAGCCTCCCTCAGGCTAAGCTGACGCAAGCGCGGCTGCGCACAAGAATCACAAAAGGAAGCGAGTTTGTTGATCTGAGTCAAGGGCATCGAAAACCGAGTCAAAGCCCAAGTCTCCTCACTCATTCCATCAAACATCTTGGCAAACCGATTGCGCACGAGAAAGCTGAATTCCGCCACTTTGTCTGGAGAAAGAATCTCAATTTCACAATCTTCAATCCCATTGTCACTAGGCCTGGGGCCTGGGTCGATGCAGGTGAGAAGAGGCTGCGAATTGCGCGGCAATCCTAGCCGAAATAGCCTCATCATGCACTGAAGATGGCCAATGATCAACACAGAATAGCCATCTGGAATGTGCGCAAGACACACCTGGACCTCAATGGGTGTGAGAACAATTGAGGCTTCAAGCCTCTCTGAACAAACATCTGAGGGCTCAGGAGAAATGTCCCCATCAACCTGAGTCACCTCATTGAAGAGTTTGCAGGACCCATGCGGGACTCCAAGTCGAACCGCAATCTCGTGTGCTGCTTCGAAGCTTCGCTGGAGCTGGCTGGAGAGCACCAAACACACTTTCCATCCCGCAGCATATTTGAAAGTCAATTGTTGGATTTGGCTTTGTCCGGAAGAAGTGAACTGTCGACTCTCCTTTGTCGAGTCTGGGTGACGTGCAATCAGACACATAGGCTTTCCACTACATGCACCGCGATCCTTGGCAGCGGACAAGCTTGCCGCAACTCGCCTTGCATTTGCATAGCCATTGAAAGCCTGTCGGAGTTTGACTGCACTCTGTTCCCCTAGTGGGACAACCCTCTTCAATTCCGGATGAATGGCCTCCTTTGGGTCTCCTTGGTGATCCTGCCTGGCTGTGTACTTCATCCATGTGTGAGAAAGAAACCACTCTGCACACAGCCGACGCTTTGGCTCTTGGTCAAGAATCAAGAATCTTTCCATCTGGGTTGTAGACGGTCTCATTCAGTAGAACTCGGCGGACAGAAACCACATCATACCCAAACTGTGGGTGCTTTGGAACTTCCGCCTTTCTGAGATCCTCATGGTCTTTGTCATCAGTTGACTGAAGGACCTCCCAGATGTCTGTGGTCTTGCGCAATTTGCCTTGTTCTTGTATGTAGAAACCCAGACTGTTCTTGTCAGCGGGCCTCCACCAGAGGTGCCTTGTTGCTCGGTCAGTCTGGTCTTTGGGGACTAACCTGCTCTTCGGGGTACCGCCTCTAGGCTTCATTTCAAGTTTCTTCTTTCGAGAAATGGCCCTTGCGCCTTCAACACAAATTGACCCCTCGCGCCGTACGCAGCCAACAGGCCGTCAAAAAGCTTGAGCCGTAGCCAGGGTTTGGGGTTTAGGGTTTTGGGTTTAGGGTTTGGGGCTTAGGCTTTAGGGTTTAGGGCGGAGGTTAGAACTCCGGGATCGAATCAAGCCGAGAGATTCTGGCTTCTAGACTCAGGTCCCAGGGGGCCCTCAAGCCTGATACAGGGCAGGACAGTGAAGCTCTAAAATCGGGCTTTGAGGGATATTTGTATACCCTAGCAGTCTACAACAAAACGACTCTTAACTGTGAAGGGCTGTATATATCTACGCATATTTAAGTTTTGTCCACGTGGTTTTGAAGGGCATGAACATGCCCCAGTAACTCCAAACCACCCTGCGACGACATATCCCGACACTTCACGGAACCTGCACTGAAGGACTCACTAACGCCCTGCAGCTAGGTACTGTCTCCATACAGTAACAAGTCTACAACCAGGTTACTATTACCATGAAGGACCATTTGTATATCTACGTATACTTAAGTTTTCAGGTTCATCCAACTGTTTCTGAGTGGGGGCACAAGACCTCAAAGCCTAGCCCGCTGTGACCTAAAGACTGTCTATATATACATATATATATAATGTTATTTATATTTAGTTACTTGCTTAAACCGTCTTAAACCCAAAATTACGAGCCCCCGAACCCTGCTCCCGAATGCCTCGGCTAAGCCATCTCAGAATGCTCTCCCAGGTCAGCCTGAAGGGGGCTTGTATAAGTGTTTTCCAGGCAGCCCAATACCCTCAAATTAAGGAGTGACATAATAGAACTTCCCTAAACCCTAAAGCCCTAAACCCTATAAGTCCTAAGATGAAGCCCCTTCTAACTTAAGGTGTATTGCAATTCCTTAGCTAAGGGGTATTGGGGACTGACGGGGTTCGTCCAAGATGTAAGGTTTCGGGGTTTGGACTAAGGAGCATTTAGGGTTTTCGCCTTTTTCTTACATATGCCTTTTGAGTTCTCCCCTGTCGGAGTTTTAGGCGTGTGTCCGTTGTTGAGAGCTTAGAGCTTTGGGGTTGAGGGTATGGGATTTCGGGTTGAAATTAAGGACTAGTAGCAGCTAAGCCACTTTTAGGGATTAGTTATGTTATGCGCCTGTCCCAGCCACTCTAAATTATTTGAATTTATTTGGGGGGGGGGGGGGGGGGGGCAAAGCTTCTTGTGATGAGTGTAGGCTCGGGGCTCAGGGCCTGATATGTCTACTTCCCGCAACTCTGCAAAACCTACATCTTCAAAAGGTGGTTGTCAAAATTATGGTCCCTTGTTGGGTCCCTAGTAGAACACGGCACCTATTAAAGTACCCAAAAAGGGACCTTAGTTTTGACAACTAACCATATGACCGCCAAAGTATCGGGTGAGAGCCCAGACTGAAATCGTGAAGCCAAGTCCTGACCCGTAAACCCTTGACTCCTCCATTCCCAACCAAAACACCCATCCGTGTTTGCACAGGCTTGATTGGAGCTCACCCGGCCAGGTTAGCAGCACAACGCACTCGTGGCGACATGCGCAAGTCTAAGTACGATCCTCTAAACCCCGGAATAACCCGAAACCAAACTGCCGAAGCCCGGTACATGAAACTCAAAAAAATAGAACGAAACCCGGAAACCCTGCGAAAACCCTGAACCCCTGCCCCAAAAGCACACTAACACAAAAGTTCTCAAGGTGCTGTCCCTCTGAGGAGAGAATATTGAAATACCCTAAAAAGCAACCCTACAAGCAACCCTAAAATTCTACACCCTAAACCCTAAAATCTCATCCCAGCCCGGTGGCTTTCCAGCGTGCTCATTGCCATGCTGGAAGTACTTGGGGACCGGCAGCTTTTCTGAGCAGACCAACGGGGCGGAATCTCAAAATTAGGGATACGTAGTCTTGGTGTGGGTCTCCATCTTAAACGGTTTAGGGTCTGGGGGCTGTTTTATTCTTGGCTGGACGTCCCTTGTCCATCTGCTCTGATCCGGAAAGGGGCTTGGCGGTTAAGGTTCTGTTTGGGTGCTGTATTAGGCTTTGGGGTTCTCAAGCTGCATGTGCTCTGACCATCTTATGATAAAAACTGAAACCATTTTGACTCAAACCTAACATGGAACTCAACAACTGAACCCTAAGGCCCAAACCAGCAATCCCATCATGCTTCCTGAAGCACCGAAGAACGTCAAATGACATCGAGAAGCCGAAAGTCTCAACGTCCAAGACCGCACACCTTCATCAAATAGACACATAGTATGGAGCCGTGTTCCCAAAAATTCCGCAAGCGCTTCCTCGACAAAGTGAACCAGACCATAGTAGCCAAATGTAGCCAGCATTAAACTTAGGCACGGAGGCCTTTCAGAGTTGCAGTACAGGCCCCTGAGACGCAGCATGAAATGAGAGCAAAACTGGCCCCCTGGATGCGCACTAGGGACTAAAGAACAAGATTCCCGAAGGACACCGAGGTAATAAGGGGGCGTCGGACGATGGGTCACCTAGCCAGCAATACTTCAGTATTTCGAAGCATGTTATAGCATGTTGTTTTCTTTATCGTGTCTTGGAGTGTACTACAGTGCATTCTGGCATCTGATAGTTCACCAATAGTATGCAACAGTATGGCATGATGATTTTTGGCGCCAGCATGGCTGGTCTCTATACTATGGGTAGTTCTCTAAATTAGAACCCCTTTTTAGAAGTGGCCAAAATCGTACGGCACTCTTATTAAAAAAGGTTTAGAGCAGTATTCATATTGTATTCTATGTAGGTCCCATCCGAGCGGCTTGGCTTTGCGGGTGCTTTCTGGTCGCAGACCCACACCCACGGCATCTTTGGCATCTCCTTGGGCGCGGAGGCTTTCGAAGCACACAGGCACGGCTTGATGAGGGTCCAGTTTGCTACCGTGCACAAGCTTCAGGGCCCTTTAGGGTTCAGCACTGATAGTGGGGAGTTTACGGTTTACCGCTCTAATATTTTATGTTTGTTTAAGGGCCCCTTTTCCACCTGCATGTGTCTGACTACCCACCCTGGAAAGCCCTACAGTGCGGGAACCCTCCCTATAGTGCAGGCAGAGTATGCAGGGTTAGGTTTAAGGGCATTTGTTTTTGGGATTGGGGAGGGTTTCGGCTCATGGCCGCTTCTTCCTCCCTACACTTACCAGAAGCCGAGTATGAACTCAACTTCCGATCGGGATAACACTTTGGAGTTTTCCAAAATACGGGACCCTAATATAGCACCCTAAATAGTAGGATCCTTATTTTAAGGACCCCCAAATAAGGTACCCCTATTTCGGAAACTCCCACTTCGGAGCTTCTGGTTCAGGAGGCCTAGAGGCCTCCCTGCAGCTATGGAACCATTTGCGGAATCCTTTGCGGGTTGAAGGACCTACTTGTCGGGTACCATGGGGGAGTAAAGGTTAACCTCTTTGGTTACATAGGGATTACAGTATATAGGGCCTATACTCTACTACCCAAAAAAGGGTTATATAGAGGTTGCCTACTCTACTACTTACTAGGAAGAGGTTTGTGGATTCAACAGAGAGCATGAGCTGCAGGAAAACCCGCCCTTGTGTACAAGCTCTCAACACGGAGCCCCAACCTCAAAACTCTATGAGGCCGAAGGTCTCGGTTTTAAACATTTTTACACGGGCGAAAACATGCCTGAACTCCAGAGCACTGCTTTCTGGTCCCACAGATCCCCTAGAGTTGCATCACAAGGCTCGCCAAGAGAAGAGTCATGCCGGAGGAGGGCAGTCTGACTGCCTTGGGGTTGTCGGTGCTTAGGGACGGAAAAGCTACTATAGGAGCCTTATTGATTAGAAAAGGGTTTTGGGGCCCATCATACTATAGTTATAAGGAACCCCCCAAAACAGTATGGGTAATCATTAAAGCCCCTATATCATAGTACCCTTACAGGACCCCTTTGAAGGAATCCTTTAAAGGAACCCTATGAAAATTATTAAGGGCCCTATATTATTACTTTCTGGAGTGGCAAGGAGCAAAGCTGCAAGCGGCAATACTCGAACTTGTGTGCAGGCTGATTCTCTGCTTGTTGCTGATAATGACGAGAATGATGAAGATGATGGGTGTGAAAATGATGGTGATGATGATGATGATGGTGATGATGATGATGATGCCGATCACGCTGGTGGTGGATATTAGCTGGCCATAATGATGAAAATCCGGATGGTGACGACGACGTTCATGATGAGGCAGATGATGGCTATTGTGCAACGGATGTTGTCGTTGCCGTGGCTGTGGTTGTGGTTGTCGCTGTCGTTGTGGGTGTTGGTAGCCTCGAAGAATGGAGCGATCATGGGAAAGGACGGTTTACACACGCAAACCTGGAATTGTCGGACAGAGTATTTAAATTGCACAGTGTTTACAGCACGTTCACTGGCCTGCGACTTTTGCATCGTTCGCGGGTAGATCGCGCCTGCTCTGAAACAACCAGCTTTGCTTCGTGTTTTCCGTGCTGCAGAAGCCGAACAGTGTTCGAAACCCGGGTGTTTTAAGCGAGCTTTCGGATGTTGTGTTTGTCGGTGTGATGGGTTGCTGGGGGATGAGGCGGGCGGGCTTAGAAAATCTCTTTGCCCCCAAACATGCCCGTTCCTCGGTATTTACGGCACTTCTACTTCACGCACGACCGGCACTGGAATTCTGGAATCACAAAATCACAGCTCTTTTCTGTCACATGGTCAACCACCTCCCAGTTCACTCAGACTGTCTTGTAGTAGTAGTTACCTTAGTAGTAGTTGTTGTTGTCGTCGTCATCGTCGCCGTCGTCGTCAACGTCGTCGTCGTCGTCGTTGATGTTGTTGTTTCTGCTGCTGGTGCTGCTGTTGCTGCTGCTGCTGCTGCTGCTGCTGCTGCTGCTGAACTCCGTCTCGTGGGTATCTAGCGGACCTAGCAGTCTCTGGCATTCGCCACGTCCAAGATGCTGTTGGAGCTTGCCACGACAGCAGCAGCTGCTGCCAGCGACATGAGTGGATCGCTGAAACTCCCAAGTGTCCCTCCACCACAGTAAATTCAGAATCCCTTGTTTGCCCTTTGTGGGCCTGGGAGTGCCCATAGCCACTAGCCGGATGCCACTCCTTAAAAGTCTACAGTGCATAATCGTAAACCCAAACAGAACAATCTCGAAACTTTGTATCAGTCTAGGATACTACGCCAAGTGCTTTGGGAGTTCATGTGATACGTTCTGGGGTATGTATGGACTCATCAACTTTCTTAGGCTCCAAACCCTTAAGTGGCCCTAGTTCCTTGTTCAATCATAATGCAGGGGCGTTAATGATTCTCAGGAACCCCCAAAATAGTATAGGCAATGATTTAGGCCCCTGTGGTAGGGCGTCGAGGTGTCTGTCAGGAACAGCAAGCCGAAATGAGCCGCAGCGATAGCATCGATAAGGGCCGAATACCCAGAGACCCCAAAACCCTTGATCAAGGAATATACCATTGTAGCTGGATCCTTAATCTGGTTTAAGGAATATGAATATTCCTCAATTAAGTGATATTGGAGTCTCTGGGTAAGGGTCTTTGGGTGGCTGGGTGTGCTTCAGAAATCTTGGAGCCAAAAGAGGTACTCCAGGTTCGGACAAGGATGGTATCATATTTGTCTTGATCAAGTATTCGGTATTCTTCTCATTGTTACATTTTGGAACTCGGGCTGATGGGCATTCGAAGACCTTCGTCGGGTGGTCATGCTCGGGTCGAGTGGGACAAGTGATTTGGATGCACAAATGCATAGAAGGATGCAATACAGGTCACAGCCAAACGACCAAATCATGCATCTCCTGGAATGTGCTAGCCTAAACTAAGCCCGCTCAAAACGGGATCTACATTCAGGGGCTTAGGAGCATTACAGTTTGGAAGGTTTTGCGACCTGTGGGTGTTCATTAACAGTCCGAAGCTCACACCCCACGTGAAATTGAAGCTTCAGGAGAATATTAGCAGGGCTTAAGAGTTCTTGCAAAGTTTATGTTTGACTGGCCCGGCTTTTAAATCAGACACTGTTGGGGCCTATGTCACTATGTTCGCTACTGCATGTTTATGTTCGAGGTATGTCCTCGCTTCAACGTCAGGGATTTGGGGTATAGACTTGCGCCCCCGCAACCCTAAACCCGAAGCCTAGGCTTGATCTACTCGAACGCCACAGCCTGAGACGGGCTTTCGGCGTCCAATCTTCTCGGATCACACTCAGTGGCAAGGCCATCAACTCCCTGAATGCATTCAAGTCCTTGGCTTCGCATTTTACAGGCCTAGGGCTCAGGGTTTAGGGTTTGCTCCCACGGTCTAGGGTTTAGGATCGTAAAGGGGATCTAGGGCTTATAAGTTTGGAGTTTCAGAGATAAGGGTTTAAGGGTTCAGAGCACTCGGTCCACATATGGTTTAAGGTGCATTCTACCATGGACCACTCCTTGATGCAAGGGACCATCAAGGTGGTGATCGGAAAAGAAGGGAACCCGATCTCCACCCAAGCTGAACTTGTACAGGCATCGTCAACACAAAGACCCTTCAGCGACCCTGAACCCTCAAATCCCAAGCCCGAAGCCCTAAACCCTGAACCCTTGGGCCCCCTCTCAAACCTTCCTAAACCCCGACAAAACCGTACAAAAGCCACCATTAAATTACTGTTGTGGCGTCAACCAAAAAATGTACACCTCACGGCTTTGCCGCCCCCTAGAACCCCTTAGAGTATCCCCCCCCCCGATCAAGCGCTCTCCAACCCCTTCTCAGCTCCGCATGAACCTCAAGGTTTAGGGTTTAGGGCATAGAATCCTACACAACCCTCCAAAGCCTGTGCAAGACCGTTTCGAGCGCTCGATTTAAGGTTAAATTGTGCCAATTTTACCCTAAGCCCTTCGCGCTAAACCCCAAACTCTCAACTCAAGACCTTTATATCGCCCTTACAAACCCTACTTAAAGGATCATGGGACTTAGTAATTGGGGTTATAAGTAAGGTAACTACAGTTATAGTTACATATTAACCTTTAATTAAGGTACTTATAACCCTGCTTACTACGTGCCATGATCCTCCAAGTGAATCTTAACTAACCAGTGGTTTTGGGGGTTCCCTTGGCTCTTTAGCTCCTTATTCAATAGGGATTATCATCAGCCCTGGCTCCTTAGCTCCCCCAATATCAATGCTTAGTTAAGCCGTCAAGTGCAAGGAACAACCCGGAGGGTCGGCGTGAATCGCCAATGAGGGCTTGCCAAGTCCTGGACCTCGTAAAAGCGACCTGCGAGGTGGGTTTTAGGGTTTAGGGGTTTAGGGTGTTCAGGTGTTTAGGGGTTTAGGGTGTAGGGTTTTAGGGTTTAGGGGTTTAGGGTGTAGGGTTTTAGGCTGTAGGTTGTGCTTTCGTATTGCTGCAGTTTAGGGTTTGTGGCACAGGGGCTTAGGCTGTCGGGGGTCGGGGGTTTGTAGGGTTTTGCGTGTGTGTTGCCTCCTGCGTTGCTGAACGAGTCGCTGGGTTTATTAGTGGTTGTCGCAGGATTGAGGGCCTAACCTTAAGGCTACGAGGGCTTCTAGATGGCTTCTACGGCCGCAAGCAGCCGAACTGCTAGAATCGGGATTTCATAACCCTAAGACCCTGAAACCCTAAGCAAGTCCCAGCCGCTATGCTCTCAAACCCAAACCTTCCCAAATCCCTTAACTAAGGAATATACCTTAAAGTATAATAGGATCCCGAGTATGATTTAAGGTATATTCCTTAACTAACTACGGTCCAGGAACCCTTCGCCCGGCCTTTATTCACGGACATGCAGAGGTGGTGCAGATGAGCACGGACAGCCACGTGTCCGACGAGACTGCCCGGATTCGCGTTGAGACGCTCCTTGCAG